AGATGAAATAATGATATGCTTATTCTGATATTGATGATTTTGCAAAGACCTGCCTGGCTGTGGTGCTGATGCTTATAGCAAAAATTTCGGGGAATCAAATATACAAATGTACAAGTACATGTAGACTAAAAAATATTATTGGGACAGATTAACCTCAACGAGTATTTCAATGAAATGTTGCATGTTGAATTTGGAGACACATACTGGTATTCTATATTATCGATTCAATGTAACGAAAACAAATGCTACTGACATCATAACAGCGTAAGGTCCTAATTATTTACATATTTAGATATCGACGAGTGTGCTACAGGAACACATAGCTGCAGTGTTGATGCGGTATGCAACAATACAAAGGGATCGCACAACTGTGAATGTAAACCTGGATATTTTGGGGACGGATTGACCTGCACAGGTAGTGCTATGCAATATGGTATAACGAGTAGAGCCACACGGATGCTCGCATTTTGTTTAGACGAGCAATATTTTGAGAGGAATTTTTTTTATATGATGTTAAAAGGATCGATCGATGATTTTCGTATTTAGATTTCGACGAGTGTGTTACAGGAACACATAACTGCAGTACTTATGCGGTATGCAACAACACAAAAGGATCGCACAACTGCAAATGTAAACCTGGATATTCCGGAAATGGGCAGATATGCAAAGGTGACTTTAGTTGGGTCCTTGTTGTATTGGTTAATGTATTCTTAATTAAAGCAGCAAGGAGTTATTGATAAATTTATTAAGTAATGCTTCAATTATCCTATTTTCACCAAGTTTGCAGCAAATATGTCTCCAAGATAAACAAAAGGTGCTGAAGTGGACAGTTGCCCTGTTAGCCCTGCTAAAATCCCCTCGATAACTTAAAAAAAGACAAAAACAAAAACAGGACAGGGAGGGTCAGCACCCTTATACGTCTAAGTTAATGTGTGACTACTTCCTTTTGATGTCGCAAACGTCGTAACAGTGTAACAGTTATTTTGTGGTTCTGTTTTTGTTGTTGTTATTACTTTGTTTGTTATGTTCCTATTTTCAGTGAACTCAGACTGCAAGGAAGCTCACAACAGAAAATTGTAAGTTTGAAACTAGAATAAGATTGTTTCTACTTGATCTCAGAGCAAAAGGGCTTTTCTAGATAACAAGTTAATATACGAAGTTAATTTACCCAAGCTGATTCCGATTTGTTTGTTAATATTCAGTCTTTCCAACTGAAAACTCAGATGAAATTTCACATACCTAGTAGGTTCCAGAGTTTGACATTTATATCTGCCTTAACCTTATTTAATAGATTCAGCAAGAGTGGCGTGGTTACGTTCCTTATTGATTCGATATTTACTTCCATTTTCTGTCACGTGGGGGATTTTGGATGTGGAGTGGGATCTTGGACCCCTGTTATGAAGATTGATGGCAAGAAGGTATTCTTTTTTTCTATTTATCAAAATAATCTGTTGATTTTTCTTATTACTTATGATGGCATTAATTGATTTCTAAAAGATCTATGGTATGGTACGAGCATCTTAAGAAACTTACGATAAAAGTTTCGAGTTCAAAATTTGACTTTCGTTGTAATCTCACCCAATCTCAGTTAAACACGTAATTGTTGTGTTGTAATTTAGTTCAAATCGGCTCTTATTTTTTGGTGCAGGTTACTCGCCGGGATTGACAGACATATTTTATTTTTATTGTCTATTTTTATTCCCAATTAGCGAACTTTTCATTTTGATTCTGATTTTTGGAGCAACAAGATAGAATACAATCTTGCTGGAGGAGAGACTGGGTTTGACACAGTGGAGACCAAGTTACCTACCTATTGGAACACATCATTCTCCAAGATCTGTCTCGGTATGAAGATTGGCGAAGATCTCAGGTTTATTGTCATAAACAAGTCAGCCGATTCCCTGTACTCGCTGATCGCTGATGGGCAACACCGCTCCACCTTTTTGGGTCCTGAGAAATGGAAGTCACTGATTGGTTCACAGGGTTACTTACACCGTTACTCTAACAAGGAAGGGTTTAATCTTGAACCGGAAGGAGCCTATTGGAAGAATAAAGCTTGCAAAGCAAGGATTGGTATTCTCGTCAATTACAATAAGGGATGCGGGGATGTTGATTCCAGAATCGGGTTCGGAACAGGAGGGCCGCGTGATGACAACAACACGTGTGGAATTGATGCTGGAGTGGTACACATCAAAGCGATGGGATACATATTGGTCCAGTAACGAGAAAAAAGTGCATACGGTGATCAACAACATCAACACCTTCCTCAACATCAACAAACACATTGGCAATCAAGAACATTTTATCGATTATACAGAATATAACACGCACTAATATAACACTTGCATTTGCGTAAAGTAATATTCAAGAGATGAACAAAAAGGAAATTAGAGAATCGTGATAAAGTAACATTTACACATATTGATTATAACTTATGACCAGAGCCACAATTCAACTGGTTCATAATTTGAATTTAAAACACAATGCGAATTGAATGTTAAATCATATTTATCATAAACACGCGATCTTTCGATGCAGATCTTGTGTAATGATAATGTATCTCATACAACTCGGTAAAAAGGTATCACAAATGAGAAGTTCTGCATGTTTTTTTTAATTGAGTAAAATAAAATCGTATAGTTTTAAATGGGTCAAGAAAACGAAAGCGATCGAAAGAACCTGGAAGAATTGAACATAGTAACAGACTGAACTATTTTAATTAAAATGCAAGAGACTGGTGATCGAACTCAGAAGCACCAGAAAATTACACAGATCAAACATAAAGAAATCATTTGTTTGAGGGGAAAACATACCGTTTCGTGGTGAAACTTACGTTCAGAAGATCAGCAAAATAAATCAGAGGATAGTAAAAGTAAAAGGAAGATAAACTACTAAAACAAATCAGAGGAAAAAACAATCAAACAAACAGAAAAACAAAACAAAAAACAAAAACATGAACAAATAGTGAAACAGCTTATATATAGGAGGCGTAACTATTCCCCTTTCACGAATCCTATATCTACGCCTGGTGAATGACTCGAAAAAAGTTTCTTATAGCAGAAAGGCTTTCTCTGTAATGCGTTGGGTATGTAAGGGTCGATTCCTTGATAAATAACTCACGTCTAGGAATGTAATGTCTGAATCTGCTGTAATGCACACAGCCGTCCGTGCATAGATTTTCAGGCAATACTACAGTTTCAATTCTTTCTGTATCTCTTCATTTGCCCTCTAAGAACGAATTCGTGACGGAGGAATGGCAGGAGTTGTGCAGGCCCTTCAACACTTTATTATTTTCGAAGGAACGGCAATAGTCAGTGAATCC